CCACTACAGACCTTGCTGAGCTCCCCGAGCCAGGCTGTCACCTGTCCCCCCTTTCTTCCCCTCCCCGTGCCATCCACCATGTGTCTCCTCCCCACAGGTCCCGCTGGAGGACCATGTCATCTACTCAGGCAACCTCTTCCAGTACATCGAGGAGAACAAGAAGTGGAGGAACCGCTTCTGCGTGGTCCCGCACAACTATGGCTTGGTCCTCTATGAGAACAAACTGGTGAGGGGCATCACCCTTCCGCTTGTCTCCGTGGGCACAGCTCCAAAGGGGGACACCCCATTGCTGTGGTGGTGTGGCAGTGCTGCCCATCATCCATGACCACCTTTTTTCTGCTCAGGCCTATGAGCGGGACCTGCCACCCCGCCTGCAGGTCAACAGCGCTGGCTACAAGATCCTCACCTCCGTGGACCAGTACCTGGAGCTGGTGAACAGCAGCCTGCCTGGTGAGTGGCTGCAGGATGAGGAGGAATGCTTGGGTTCTTCTGCACCCTGATGCTGCTGGACATCCCTTGCGGACCTTTGGGAAGGATGGTTTTGGGATGTAGGCATCCCTATGGGGTGGTTTCGGGGTGTGGAGCTGTAGGGAGGAACAGCTCTGTTTCCCCCCATGGGTGTAGGGTGAAGCGTGAGGTGTCTGCTACCCTGGTCCTGCTGCAGCTGCTGGGGAAGGAAGGAAAATATGTCTGCAGTTCCATGAGAGCTGCCCCATGCTGCTGCCACCTCCCTTTCCTGGCAGCACTGGGCAAAGGCAGCAGCTCTTGTTCCTCCATCCAGACCCCCAGGAGGAGTGGCCACCACCCCGCTCACCATCGTCCTGCCCCATGTACCTGAAGACCAGGGCAGCCCCGAGGGAGTGAGGCAGGAGCTGCTGAAACAGCAGGCCAGCAGCTCCAGGGAGTGTTTTGTGCTGGAAATAATGATTTTTAAATTTAATTATTTTTTTTTTTACTTTGGATTTCCTTTTTGGAAGAACAAGCCTCTTTGAACTTCTTTTGCCCCGTGTTTTTGGTAGAATTCACAGCAAAGGCACTGGGAAGGAGCTGAGGGGTCTTGTGTGCTCCTGCTGCACCCCCAGACCCAAATGCTGGGCAAGATGGACACCCCCAACCCTGCAGCATCCCCACCCCTGTCCTGCCCCGTCTGCTCCTCAAAGCATCCTTCCCGCCTCCACAGGTGTGACACCGAAATCGGGTCACTCCCCCATCCTGAAGTGCCCCACGGATTTCCCCCTCATCCTCTGGCACCCCTACTCCCGGCACTATTACTTCTGCGTGATGACAGGCAAGGAGCAGGAGAAGTGGCGGGCGGTTTTCCAGGACTGCGTTCGGCACTGCAACAATGGTGAGCGATGCTGGGCTTGGGGGGGACCACACATGGGGGCTCCGGGGTGGGGAGAGCATCGTCCTCCTGCTCCAGAGAGGGTGCTGGGGACCCTGCAGTGGTTGGGTTGGGTTTTGGGCAAAAGGTGATGATTTGGAGGTTAAGAGGAGGAATTGGCTGGGAGTTGTTGAGCACCACTGAGCATCTCATCCTCTATCCCTGAGCGAGGGGGCAGAGTGGGAGGGATCCAGATGCCCGGGGCATCCCACTGCCCGTAAGGAAGGCGATGCCTGCACCAGGGCAGGCACCATTTGCAGGAGCCAGCACGGAGCCTGGCTCAAGAGAAACCCTGATGCCTATTTTTAACCCTGAGGTAGAAAATATTTGGTAATTAAAGTCATCAAAACTCCAAACCCCACAGTCCTGCTCCCTGCCCCGCTGGCACCGCCCGGGCACTGTCAAGTGAGGGCAGCCCGGGCTGCGGGCAGAGAGGTGCAGGGCTGCGAGGGGCCGGGGTGGAGGCAGGACCTGCCTCACACGTCAGCGATACTCTGGCAGGAAAACACGATTTTCCTGCTTGGCTGTGGCCTGTGAGCTCCTGGGCTGAGACCCAGGTCCTGGTGGCGTCTTAGATGGTGAGAAGTTTCCTGGGGTGCCAGTGCTGAAACCTGCTCAAAATCATGTCTTTTAGTGGGCAAAGATCAATGCTGCCTAGTTTTTAAGTGCTTCTTTCACTCCTGGGAGCTCTTTGTAGCCCTCGTTTTGCTGGAGCTACTGTTTAGGGAATGGAGTAATGGGGTTGGATCCAGAGCCTGGGTTTCGGTGAGGGTTTCCCTCCTCCCATGTTAGATTAAATCAACTGAAAGCTTTGCTCTTTCCCTTCCTTTTGGTGTTCTCTCTACAAAACACATCCATGTGCTGTTGGTGAGCTGGGGGTGTCTGAGCTTGTCAGGAGGAGCATCTCCCTGCATCTCACCACGGCCCTGGACTCCTTTGCGGGGGGCTGGGAACAGTGACCCCTCCAGCCACTCATCCCCCTGGGATGCTGCTGCAGCATCATTGCTGCGTGCAGTTCAGCACCCCAGGATCCCCTGTGCTGGACACACAAAGCCTGGGCACTGCGAGCAAAACTAGCTCCTGATAAAATAGGAATTGATCTCTCTTACTAACAAAAATCCAGTTTATTTCTCTTTAATTTCCCCTCTTTGGCTGCTGGGTGCTGCTGTGGGAGAGAGAAGTGAGCCCCTTTGCTATCCCAAGTGCCAGCCAGTGTTGTGCCATTAAATCCTCTCCTCCCTCTCCTTCTTCTCAGCATGTGATGAAAATAACTTACAGGGGTGGGCAGTGGCAGGTTTCTGCATTTCTACAGCCTGGATTTCTCTGTGAGATGGTTCTTCCCTCCCAAGCCCCATTTCTGCCCCTCACTGCTCCTGCAAGGTCTGAGATACTGTTTCAAGTTTCATGAAAGCTCTTTTGTTGTTGTCGAGCAATTTATCTTTTTTTTTTTTTTTTGAATTTTCACCTCCCTTTTTAAGACTGTATTTTTGTCACACCAGCTCTTCTATAAGGACCAAGGACATGCAACATTGTTCCTCATGCAGGAGGGGTCCAGCCTGGTTTCCCTGGAGCCTGGGTGTCCTTGGCTGCCCTGAGAGTATCCCTTGCCCTGTATGGTGGCATGCGGGGCCGGAGCAGTGCCCACCCCGCAGGCTCTTGCCCCTAGTTGCGGGCAAGCTGCCCCGTCCAGCTGTGGTTTGGGCAAAAAGCGGCTTCAAACTCACATTTCTTCTTCAGCACTGTTCCCGCACTGAGAGGAGATCATCCTGTGCCATGACTTTGAAAAAGTCGAGGTGTAGCATTCCAGTGATCCTGTGGTCCACCATCACCCTGGGAGCCTTTCCAGCATAGGGTCCAGGCTTGGGCAGTTACTTCCCAACCCTGACAAGGCGAGCTCAGATCTCCGCTTAATTAGCCACATATTAATGAAGCAAACTCATTAAATCTGCCCTGTGAAGTGGCTTGATGTCTCCTTGCAGCCAGCCACGTCTGCTTCTCCCTGAGGCTGGCTCCTTGCAGCCGGAGCCCACTGTGCTCTGGGCTGAGCCAGGGACAAGTGGCCCTGGCTGGACAGATCCAGGTGGCTTCTCAGAATCACAGAATCATCCAGGTTGGAAAATACCTTGAAGATCATCCAGTCCAACCGTTAACCTCACACTGACAGTTCCCAACTACACCATATCCCCAAGCGCTGTGTCAACGCAGGGACAAAAGCTTCTCGGGGGACAAATCCTGCCCCGCTCTCTGCATGGTTTGTAGGATGAAGTTTGGCCACAGCAGCTCTGTTGGGGGGCACTGAGGCCCATACCAGGCTGCCCCACCCGGGAGGTGATGCTGAGCTGCAAGGAGCCGTGGATGGAGAAGCAGTGGCCCCTGCAAGTTCAGCCCTGCTCTGGCTCCCACCGAGCACTGAGAAAGGGTCAGACTTCACTTTCTCAGCATTTTTTTCCCCTGTATATTAAGCTGCCCCTTAGGAAAAGCTTCTTAGGCTTGGAGTTAAATGTAATCATCTTAGAAAAATCTGTGTGCCTTGGAAAAGATCCGCTCCCTACCCTGGGCTGTCCTTGGAAGGAGAGAAGCCACCCCTGGCTGTGTCTCCCCAGAACAGCAGCTTGCTGGGAGGTCCAGGGCTGTGCCACGACCCTCCACTGTCATTGCTGTGGGAAGCATCTGAGCAGGGTGGCTCTGCTGGGGAACCCTTTGCCACAGGGCCACCCTGGACTCAGTCCCATCCTGCTTCACTCCTGCTAGGTTGCTGGGCATGGGGAGGGGAGTTGGGGTGCTGGTGGGGAGGGGTTCACTCCCAGGAGTGTTTCTCTCCAGCTGGGAGGCACCAGAGCCCGGAGAGGCTGGAACGAGGCAGGGACACACATGGGATGTGTGCCAGTGGGCTCCTGGGCTGTCCTGCCCATCCACTGCCCCTATCTCCTCCTCCTCCTCCACATGGGATGTGACTGTGGGCTCCCAGCACCCTGCCCCTCCTCCTGATGGGTGCTGCGGGAAGGTGGGGGTGACACTGGAGCCCCCCTGATGCTGGTGGCCCCACAAGCCATGCTGCAGTGACTCAGTGATGTCAGGGGCAGCCCAGCCAGGCAGAGCCCAGCGTGACTCCCACAGGGCTGGCTTGGAGACCGGGCCCTGACTCAGCCCAACACCTCTCGGCCTCTTTCCTCTTCCTCCCAAGCTGTGCCGCTCCCTGCAGGGCCTCCCCTTCCTCCAGCCCCCCCGGCTGCCCCATCCTGTGGTGCTGGTGGGCTCACTGAGTCCCCCCCATGCTGGTGAGCCGCTGCTTCTGCTGTGCCTTTGGGGCTCACTGAGCCCCTGGATCCCCAGACACTGCAGGGGCTTGCTGAGCCCCCAGGTCCTGCTGCACCCCTGCTCCTGACATGCCTTCAGGGTTTGCTGAGCACCTGGGTCCTCACACACCATTGGGGTTCACTGAGCCCCCCCATTCTGCTGCGCCCCTGCTCCTGGGTGCCTCCATGACTTTGCTCTGGCTCTGGAGGGGATCAGTCTGTGGACAGAGTGGGAGCCCCCCCAGCTGCTGGTGTGTCTGGGAGACTGCTGCCCCCCACCCCAGACAGACGGTGGCTGGTGACAGCCCTGAGCTCCTCATGTGGGTCTGAGGGTGTGGGGGACCCCCTGCAAAAGGAGGGCTGGGGATGCCACAAGGAGCTGGCCTGCCCCTCGCTCCCCATGCCGGGCTGCCCACTCATGTCCCCCATCCCCTCCCCAGGGATCTCGGAGGACTCCAAAGTGGAGGCTCCAGCCTTCACGGACGCTGTCCGCATGTACCGCCAGGCGAAGGAGCAGTACGGCACCTGGGACATGCTGTGTGGCAACGAGACCCAGGTGAGGACCTGTCCCCCCAGGGCTGGTGTGGGGGGGACTGTGGGCTGAGCAGGGTCCCCAAAGCCTCCTGCCTTCACAGGTCCTGAGCAACCTGGTGATGGAGGAGCTGCTCCCCGAGCTGAGGACCACCATCGGCCCCCGGCTGAAGGGCAAGGCTCAGGAGCGCCAGCGGACCTGGATCCAGGTGTGGGGCTGGGGCTGCTGGGGGGGTCACTGTCACCTGCCCTCCCCCTGCCTGCCCTGCCTCTGCTTTGGGGGCTGCGTTGCCACTTCCCTTCCCCCTTTCCTGCTTGTCAGAGCCAGTGCCACCTCCCCCGGGTTGCCCCCTCTCTTGGCCCCTGCCAAAGAAGCTGTCCTTATTCTCCACTGTGGCTTTATAAAGCTCCTTGTTGTGCCCCTGTGAGCAGCCCTGCCCATCCCTGCCTGCGCTGCCTTGTCCCTGGGGTGAGGGAAGCAAACAGGAGGAAGCCCAGCCCCAGAGTGAAGCCCGTCCTGGCTATATTTAGCGAGCCATTTTTAGAGCAGCACAGGCTAAATCCAGCCTGAACCCTTGCGAAAGACCGAGGGCTCTTCAAAACTGCCTGTTGAAACCTTAAAAGCTGGTAGATGATTACCACAGGCTCATAATGTGCCACTGGAGCAGCCTGAAAACACACAAACAGTGCTTTTTCAGTAGCTGTGGTCTTAGCTGCAAAGCTGGGAAACCTGAGGGAGGGAGGGGTGGGACGGCTCTGCCTCCTGCCGGCCCCAAAATCACGGTGTTTGGCTGCAAAGTGAGCGTGAAGCCTCAGTGAGCGGCCACATCCTGCTCATGGTGTTGGGTCCTGAGACCCCAGGCAGGCTGAGCAGGGCAGGGAGCAGCTTTCAAATGGGTCAGGGGCTCTCCTGCTCAGACCATCAGCATCCCCGGACCTGCATCATACCCTGCCCTGCCTGGGGCAGGTTGGCTGATGGAGGCAGTGCTTGGCTCTGGGCCACACTTCAAAGCAGCTTCTGCACCATGGGATCTTCATCTCACCCAGGTGAGGGATCGGGATCCCTGGTGTGAAAAACCTACTGCCAGGCTGCGAGGAGGGGTCCGGTCAGGGCATGAGGGAAGGCTCAGCAGATCCTGCAGGCTGGAGGTGACGGTTAGCGGCAGCAGCAGGGGGTGTAGGGTCAGCTGAACACCCCATCTCTCCCTCACCAGATCTCAGATGCCGTCTATAGGATGGTCTATGAGCAGACCAAGGCCCAGTACGATGCAGTGATGGCCAAGTGCGAACAGGAGCGGCCCCAGATGGAGAGCACCATCCGCACGGACATGGACCAGATCATTACCTCCAAGGAGCACTTGGCCAGCAAGATCCGAGGTAGAGCCCTGTGGGGAGATGCGTGGACCTGGATGTGCGTAGCTGTGTCCGTGACTGGCTCCTGGCATGGCATCAGCACTGTTTCACCAAGGTGTGGCTGTCTCTGGGGTGCAGCATGGCTCCTGCCAGCATAGCCTGGAACGCTTATGGAGATGCCAGCAGTTGCAGTGGCCAGGGTGCACATTCCTCACTGGCATTGTCCCAGGAGGTGGGGGACAAGGTGGGAAGTGACCCCCCCAAACCAGGCAGTGAGGCAGGAACAGGTTCAATAGAGATCAAGGGCCCCCTGCAAGAACACTTTGCATTGTCCTGTAAGTCTGTGAGACCTTTCCTGGAGGAGCAGGTTCCGCTCCCTAGGGTGGGTTTAGGACCTGATTTGCAGAGCTGCAAGGGTAGAGCAGGAGCCTCACCACGCTCACTCCCATTCTCTGCCCAGCGTTCGTCCTCCCCAAAGCGGAGATCTGCGTCCGTAACCACGTCCAGCCCTACATCTCCTCCATCCTGGAGGCCCTGATGACCCCCACGAGCCAGGGCTTTGCTGAGGTGCGAGAGGTGTTCTTCAAGGAGGTGACAGACATGAACATGAACATTGTCAACGAAGGTGGCCTGGAGAAGCTGGTGGAGGTGAGACCTGGCAATGCTCTGGTGGGCTTAGAGGTGGCAGGGCCAGTCCTGCTGCCATTCTCAGCGTGGACAGTGCTGGGGGACTCCAGGCTGAAAAAATACATGGGGATGAACCCATGTGGGGTGGTGTGTCCCAGCCCTGAGCATGCAGAGAGGCTGGCCTGCCCTGCTGAGCTTGCCTTTATCCCCAGTACATGGAGAAGCTTTCCCACCTGGCCTTCCACCCCGTCAAGATGCAGTCATGCTATGAGAAGATGGACCAGCTGAAATTGGAGGGGCTTCAGCAGCGATTCGATGTCTCCAGCACATCTGTCTTCAAACAGAGGGCCCAGATCCACATGAGACAGGTGGGACGGGGACCGGGGTCCTCCCATGTCCCCCTGGGCTGAGCACTGAGGGGTGGGAACCAGATGCAGAGCAGGTCCAACTCAGGCAGGGATTTGGATGGGATAGCTGTCCTGTCTCGGGGACTTTCATGCTGTTGGCACCCAGCTACAGGTGTGTGGTGGATCTGGCCACCCCCTTTGGTCTGGAGCCAAGGGAAGGAGACAACGGGTGGGCAGCAGTGTGGGGTACCCTTCCAACATGGACTCAGCACCCAGGCTTGGGCATCACAGCATGGCTGTGCCTTTGTCACTGAGCCCACTGGCACCAGCAAGGCCAGTAACCCAATTCTGGAGCGGAGTGTAGAAGGAGGGGAATGCAAACGAGTTTTGGGCACCCTCTTCCCCCAGCACCCTTGGTCCCCAGGGTGGAGCCCGTGGATGCCACGTTGGGATGCTGGGGACCTTGCCAGCATGAAGGCTCATCTTTGTGTGGCAGTGCCCAAAAGAGCCCCCTGCTCACCTCCGTGGTTGGTCCCTTTGGGTCCCCCTGACCATCTGCCTCTGCTTACAGCAAATGGATGATGCCGTGTACACGTTTGAGACGCTTCTCCATCAGGAGCTGGGGAAGCTGCAGGGCAAAGACGACTTGTGCAAGTCCATCCAGCGCATCCTCGAGAGGGTGCTCAAGGTGAGGGGTGGCAGGTCAGGGGCTTTGATGGCCTTCAGTGGCCTTACTCCACAGGCCAGAATCCTGGGGAACAGGACAGGAGTGACCTTTCAGATTTTAATAGAAGTCTTCTTGGGAAATAGATTTTTATATTGAGCTTTTCATGAATTTTGTTGGGATGTGGGGCAGGTGAGTGGGAAACCACTTGGAGGAGCCAGGTCCCCTCTGACCACATGCATCACTGTAAAAGCCACCTGGGGTTCAGACTGGCCTAAAAACCTTTCTGCAAACAGCAGTGGAGGAACCGGCTCTAACCCAGGATCAGGCACCGCAGGAACTGGCTGGAGAGAAGGTTGCAAGGGGCAGAGGAACCTGCTCACATGCATGCAAATGGGTTGGGGGGTGGCTTGTGCCCACGGGCAGGGGAGCTGCTGGCCCACAACCCTCACTGACCTGGGGCTGCCCTCTTGCTCGCACCCCAGAAATATGACTATGACAGCAGCACCGTGCGGAAGAAGTTCTTCAGGGAGGCCCTGCTGCAGATCACCATCCCCTTCCTGCTGAAAAAGCTGGCACCGACCTGCAAGGGGGTAAGAGGGTAAAATTTAGGGTGTTGGGGAAGGGCCATCCTCCCCTACAGATGGGCTGGAGCTTCACTGCCTCCTGTCCCCCTGGGCTGAGCGGCCTCTCCCCTGCGGCAGGAATTAGCCAAATTTCAGGAGCTGATCTTCGAGGATTTTGCCAGCTTCATCCTGGTGGAGAACACTTACGAGGAGGTCGTGCTACAGTCGGTGATGAAAGACATCATGCAAGGTAGGGTCCTGCAGCGCCAGGGAGCCTGGACCCACTCAGCTCTGAGCCCTGGGGGGCCCCAGCAGCCTGGGTGGTGAGTGCTGGGCTGAGTCAGTGTAAGCTGAGCCTGGGCTCGACAGCACCTGGAGGGCCCATGATGGGTGCCGGGGGCTGGAGGAGGGGGTGATGCTGTGCAAGATGCTGGGGGCTGTACCAGGAGCAGCATTTCCACCTGAACTTCCTGCTGACAGGGTTGAGCAGTGGGTGGGATGTTGAACCCTCTGCCCAGCTCTGGATACCTCTCCCTGCACCCTACACCCAAGGGAGAGGTACCCAAACCTAGTGGGCGCTGCCCCATGCCCCCAGCCCATCTGACATCTCTCTCGGTGCCCCCAGCTGTGAAGGAGGCAGCCGTGCAGCGGAAGCACAACCTGTACCGTGACAGCATGGTCATGCACAACAGTGATCCCAACCTGCACCTCCTGGGCGAGGGCATCCCCATCGACTGGGGCGAGGAGTACAGTGGGCAGCCCGAGGCTGAGCCAGAGGCTGACAAGCGCCGCAGGGCCAAGCAAGTGGTGTCAGTGATCCAAGACGATGAGGGGGTCCTGCCCTACGAGGTGGGTGCTGAGTCGTTGCTGCAGCCTGGCTCCCCGGAGCCGCGGGAGCCAGAGGAGCCGGACCCTGGGGTGCTGCCGAGCTCCTCGGATGGGGTGGAGGAGATCCGGAGGATGCTGGTGAAGGAGAGCCTCGGGGATGGCGTCAAGGCAGAGGAGCGGCTGACGAACGGTACCAATGCCACACGAGAGCGCGGTGCCACTGAGGAGGTGGTGGCAGTGTCTGTCCCGGGTGATGGGCCCCGCCAAGGTCCAGCCAGTGAGGGGAACGGGGTGCACGGCACCACTGCAGCATCACCTGTGCCTGCAGCAGAGGTCCCCTCAGGGCCTGGTGTGACATGTGCTGCACCAGCATCCCCCATGCTAGCATCACCTGTGCCTGGAGGCGACGTCCCATCAGGGGCCAGCATGCACCAAGCCACACCAGCGTCCCCCAAACCAAGAGCTGATGTTCCATCAGAGGCCAAGGTGCCCTGTGCCACCCCAGCATCACCTGCACCCAGAGCCGAGACCCTGTCACCATCCGCCGGGACACCTTGCCATCAGCCCAGTGACAAGGAGACAGGCGAGGAGGTGGCCCCCGCGTGCAGTGAGTGTAGCCCCCCACAGCCCATGGGCACGACAGAGAGCGGTGAGGGGGTGCAGACTGAGTTCTAGCCCCGGGCCCCCCCCCACCATGGACTGGCCCTGGTGACACCGGGGGTTGGGGTAGGGGGAATAGGACCCGCTGTGCTGCCAGGGATGGAGAGCAGCGCTGCGGGAGAGGGAGGGGATGGGAAACACCGAGACCTTATTGCCTAGCCGGGGGGGTCCCCATTGCTGCACGGGGCTGGCCACAGCCAAGTGGTCCTACTGGGTCGGACTGGGGGAGGCCCCTGGTCCGGCATGGGGCACCCCCTGGGCTCTGCTCTGTCCTTCTTCTGCCTTACTTTCTTCTTTTTTACTGAAGAGATGCTTTATCTGCCCCCCAGCACAAGTGCCTGGGGCTGCCGGGGGGAGCCGGCACTAGCCCCGCTGTGGCTGGGTGTGCGGGATGCTCCCTGCTGCTCTGGGGGCCGTTACCTGCCCCAGCCCGGGGAGTTTCCTGGGAGCCTGCCCACCACCATCCCACCCAGCTGGCTCTGGGAGTGCCAGTGGGAGCGGGGCCACGGGGGATGATGGAAAACATGAGAGTGGCTGGGGGGCATGGCAGGGGTACAGCAATGCTGGGTGGCTTGAACCACTGCCGATGGGGCGAGAGCTGGGGCAGGCATGGGCTCATGGGTCCCGGGCCGGGCTCACAGCACCCGCCTCTGGTCACCCTCACCTGGGGTGTTCTAGCAGCTATTTAAGGTCAGAGTAAAAACTTAGCAGGGAGAATGGCACTCACACAATGTCTCCAGCATTGCCTGGCAGGACTGGGCTGCCTCTGGGCTCAGGCTCACCGTGCAGCGGGGTGACCCCAGCTCCTGCCCCCCCCGGAGCTCCCCAGCACCATGCACAGATGATTTCTCCAGCTCTTCGGGCTTTGCGCCCGCTGTGATGGTCAAGCAAAGAACTAGTGCTTTAGCAGCAGTTTGCTGGCACCCCAGCAGCCCTGCCTGCCATGGGGAGGGGGACGGGACTGGTGCAGCCCTGACACAGAGATGCTAAAAGCCCCCGAGCTAGTGGGGGGTTGGCAGGACTTCTGAGCATGAGACGTGTGTGTGTGCAGAGCAGGGACCAGCACCCCGACACTTGCCTGTATTTTAGGTGCCGCTGTTTCTGCCTCTTAAGGGGGGTGCCCAGCCTAACCCACTTGGGAGGCCCCCCAAAGTGCCTTGCTTTGGGAACTTAAAACCTGTCTCTTCCAGGATATTTTATTAAGAAAGTTATACAAATGTTTAAAAATATGCTTATAATAATTAATAAAATGGAAAAGCTTTATTTAAAGCCAGAGGAGACTGTCTTATTCCTGAACTGCCCCCCTGGGGCTGTGCTAGAGGGGGAGGGCTGGGGGTCCCCACTCCCACTGTGACTGGGGAGGTGTCACATCCTAAGACCACCCAGCATCCACACAATCCAGAAGCCAAACGACAGAAGGTTTTATTAAAAGGGGTGTCCCAAGGAAGCAGCAAGTGGCACCCACAGCAGCAGCTTCCCCACAGTACAGCCACACCAACAGCTCAGTGGCTGCTCCGATCCCGTCCCTGAAGCACTATGGGGGGGGGGGGTGTGCAGCAGGACCCCCATCATCCCCAGAAGGCACTGTGTGAAGAGGGGCTTAGTGCAGGGCAGCTCTGGGCAGGAGGGCAGCAGTGCCTGTCCCCAGCACATCCCCTTCCCTGGGAGGTCCCTGTTCCAGCCAGGATGAACCCCCCAGAGAAGTGAGGGGAGAAGGAAATGTCCAGAGTCCCACCGCCGTCATCACCAGCCAAAGCTCCCTGAGAGCTGGAGGACAGCCACCCGCCAAGGATGGTGGCAGTGGCAGCGTGGCAGAGTGCTGGCCACAGGGCTCCCCTTGCCCAGTGTCTCCCCCCCAAGTCGGGCCAGCACTGAGGGTCCCTGCAGCAAGTCCCTGGGATGCTGCATCCCGCAGAGCACGGAGACAAGGACAGACCCAGCAAAAGTGACAGCAGCTATTCCAGACAAAGTAGCAGGAGTTGTGGAGCACATCATCCGCCATCCTGGAGGAACACCTAGCCCCGACCGAGCAGGGGGTACCCCACAAAATAGCCCAACGTGGAGCCTATGATGGCCCCAAGGAAGATCCAGGCGTTATAGGACATGACAGCCAGCATCACCATGTAGCCCAGCACCACCTGCACCACGTGGAACAGCGTCTGGCCAACATGGTACTGAAACCACCTGTGAAAGGAGATGGGAAACCCCATCAGTGAGTGGCTGGGGCAGCCGGCAGCCCCCCCATGGCCAGGAGCAGCTGGAGATGGGTTTGGGGAACGGGCAGAGGGATGGGTCTGCAAATGGCAGTGCAGGGGGAAATCCTGCTCCAAAGGAACAGGGAGGATATTATTAAGAGGTTGGCAGTAAGAACAGCCTCAGGCATGGTCTGGGATTAAACACAATAGAAAAAACCCAAGGCTTGGCTCAAATGGCTTGTGCTGCGAAGGGAATGCCCGGGCCAGCCTTGCTGGGGTGCCTGAGTCGCTGCTTGTGCCCATCCCCAAACCACGAGGACCCTCCTTGCACCCATGGGGGCTCCAGGGGGAACACGAGCATTTAAGACAGCTGAAAAAGTCCCTGAGCATCTCCCAAAGTACCTGGAGAGGCTGGGATGCCTCGGGGCCACTTCCCGAGGCTGTCCACAGACCCCTGTCCTGGGAGCCTGTTACTCCACGACTGTCTCTTTAGAACCTTGCTCCTCTCCTGCACTGGCCCAGGGGCCATACACCCCTCCCTGAGCCCCCCACAGCCCCGCCGGGCGGGGGCAGAGGGGGCCCTGCAGTACCTGCCCTGTGCGGGGCCGGTGTCCCCCTCCTCCGGCTCCATCAGCGACTCCCGGCTGAGGCTGCGGGGCAGAGCCAGCAGCGCCCGCCGCAGCAGCACAGCCTTGCCCATCTTGACGGCTTCGTAAAGCATCGACAGCAGCAGGATCACCAGCACCGAGAGTGCCATCCCTGCATGAGAAACACCCCGCTGCTGCCCATTGCTGCACACCGTTGGGAGATGGGGTGTGGGAGCAAGAGGGGAGGCACAGCGGGTCCCAGCACAGAGCACTTGGGCATATCCATGGGGTAAGGTGGAAGGAATGGAGAGCTCCTGGGACTGGGGTTGGGCTGGAGCAGCAGGCAGCAGGTTTGTGAAGTGTTGGGAAATGGTGTATTTAGCCCAATCCCCCCTCTAAACTCCAAGGGAGTATGTTTTGGAGAGAGTTGCTCTGAAAAAAATAAGCATCTTTGCATCAACTCCACAAAAATGTGGGGGTTGAAATATGATGCTGGGACAATAATTTAAAAAAAAAAAAAAAAAAAAAAGGGAAGTTGAGCCATCACTGAGTGACCTGGTGGGGGTGGCAGGCTGGGAGGTGATGCTTCCCACACCTCCCTGCCTGCTGCTCTTGGCCTGGGGGGATCACCCCCCCCCGGGGCATTACCAGAGCACAGCACGGCTCATCATGGTAGGAGAGGGTAGGGTCAGCCAAAACTGGGCTGTGCCCTCCGGGCTGCGGGGTGAGCGCTGTGTGGAGCTCATCACGGCTCTGCCCGATCCTCCCATGCAGTAAGTGCCCCAGCACTGATGCTGGGTGGGGGCCCTGCTCTCCCCCCTCCCAGCCCATCGCTAACACTGCTCTTGCCAGAAATGCAAAGCCACTGTTCATTTCTCTGCCCCACATCACAGGATCAGAGAATAGTTTGGGTTGGAAAAGACCTAATGGATCATCCAACCCCCCCGCCATGGCTTTTCCCTGGGCAGAGAGCACAGCTGGTGATGGACAGACAGACGGGTGTCTCGGGGCTGGGCTGGGGCTGGCAGCCTACCTGTGGGGGTGTGGACGCTCCAGAAGTCAAAGAGCAGCACTGCCGTGTCCGAGAAGTAGAAGGACATCTGGAAGAGAGGCCAAGGGAAAGGTAGAGCTAGGAACTGGCTTGGGGTGAAGGGGCAGAGAGGGGCTGGGGCACCCCCATCTTCAGCAGGTCCATGCACCCACCACCCCAAAGGGCTGAGCACCACTGCTGATGCTCAGCTGGGGTTTTACCAAATGGTGCAATTTTTTTTCCCATTCCTGAAACAGAAGGAGGAACTTGCACTATCACAGTCACGCTGACCAGGCTTAACTCTTCCCTTGATTTGTAGCGGGACGATTTTCACCTCTAGCAGCAGCTCCTGTGTGTGTCTGGGCTAGCAAGAAAAAGCCAGTTTATCCCTGCGACAAAGAGAGACAAGCCCAGGACTTCATGAACCTGGATTTAAGAAAGGAAGGTCTGTGGGAGACAGACGGAGGCTGGTGGACACTGTCTGCAGCTTGAAGTGAAGGCTGGTGGTCAGAGCCCAGACACTCCCCTGGCTTTCCCCTCCCTCCCAGGGGCTTCTCTTGCATCGCCGGGACAGGCCAAAGCCCCCAAAGCCACAAGTACAACCTCCTGACGATGGGGGCCAGGCCCAGAGATGCCTCCCTGGCAGAGGAGCATCTCAAGTCCAAGCACTTGGGGCTGCTGAGACCTACAAAGGCATCAAATCCCGTTCTTTATCAGGCTGAAATAGGAGCTCTTATCTAACAATAGCTGATATCACAGCTGCCATGTCTTGCGTTTTTAATGATTTTTATTTTTTTTTTATCCTCCCCTTGGTGAATCTCTCTAGGCAGTGTTCGCAGGGCTCATGGTCCCTCCTCTGCCACACTGACCTGGCCTTGGCCGTGCGTACCCACCGTTACCGACACCAGCAGATGTGGCTGACGGGACCAGCCTCGGCCAGAAATACCGTCCAATAACCGGGTGTCCACACCGCCGCCGGGCTCTAATTACACCCTTCAGCCACTCCCTACCCAAAGCACATTAGCACATGTAATTGGCTCACACTTTTAAGCTTCCTTTGGCAACTGATTAATGATAATTAGCCTTTAAATGAAGTTATTTCTCCTTTGCAGGCTTCACCCGCAAGTCTGCAGCACCCTGTAAAGAGAACTAACTGAACGGGATGCCACCCCGAGGGACCTGGACAGGCTGGAGAGGAGGGCCCATGTGAACCTCATGAAGTTCAACAAGGCCAAGTGCAAGGCCCTGCCCACGGGTCAGGGCAATCCCAAGCACAAATCCAGGCTGGGTGATGAGTGGATTGAGGGCAGCCCTGCAGAGAAGGACTTGGGGATATTAGTGGATAGAAAACTGACTATGAACAAGCAATGTGTGCTTGCAACCCAGGAAGGCAACAGTGTCCTGGGCTGCATCAGGAGAAGTGTGGCCAGCAGGTTGAAGGAGGGGATTCTTCCCCTCTACTCTGCTCGTGAGACCCCCCCCTGCAGTGTGTGTCCAGCTCTGGGGGCACAACATCAGAAGGAGATGGACCTGTTCAAGCAGGGCCAGAGGAGGCCACAAAGGCAATCGGAGGGCTGGAGCACCCCCCTGCGAGGACAGGCTGATAGAGTTGGGGGGTTCATCTGGAGAAGAGAAGGCTCTGGGGAGACCTTAGAGCGGCCCCCCAGGGCTGAAAGGGGCTGCAGGAGAGAAGGAGAGGGACTCTTGATCAGGGGTTAGGGATAGGACAAGGGGTAACAGTTTTAAACTGACAGAGGGTAGATTTAGATTAGATCTAAGGAAGAAATTCTTCCCTGTGAGGGTGGTGAGGCTCTGGCACAGGTTACCCAGAGCAGTTGTGGCTGTCCCCTCCCTGGAAGGGTTCAAGGCCAGGTTGGACGTGGATTTGGGCAACCTGGGCTATGGAAGGTGTCCCACAGGCAGGGGAGTGGGACTAGATGGTCCTTAAGGTCCCTTCCAACCCACATGATTCTGTGATTCTATGATCTTAGGGACAGGAGAACAGAAGTGACTGGCAGAAGATCCCCTCACTGTACCAGGTCTCCCAGCTGGGGGTGAAGCCACGTGTCTTCGGGTCCCAGCATGCCCATGAGCCCGTGGCAACGGGCCAACGGCCCCTTGCTCCTCTCCTCCATCGATGCTATAGTGCAATTTCTCTGAAGTCAGCATCTTTCTGGGTGAGATCTGGTGTGTGAAGGTCAAGAGGGTAAGTCCTAAAAATCTCTGCACTCTTTGCAAGAGGGGAATTTTGCTGCCAGGGCGATATGCCAGGCTCAGGGATACTGGTCGGAGGGATGCGACCCTGCCCTCACCCACCTGCCCACGCAGCGGTGATTCAGCAGGTGCCTGGGTAAAGCTGCGCCCAGTTCCTCCTCTGCACTTTGCAGGTATTTGCACACACAAATAAAGCTGCTGAAAAACATCTCGCACTGCCTCTGATCATGTGCACAACATGTGCATTTAGTGGCTTAATCAGCTGCAGTTTTGGGGTTACTCTTTGTCATTAAGTGAAAAGCCAGCGGTGCCTGCGTGGAGCAGTGCCAGGCTGCCCGGCGCATCCCGACCTGCTGCTCCGGTCCGACCGGGACACCCGGTGCGGGGCATGTGGGGAGGAGCGGGACGAGCTTCCTGAAGCACCCCGACCCTTGGTGTGCAAAATAACAGGGCAAGCAGGACGCCGGCCCAACCAGCCCAAGCTGCAGCCCCACACCGGGGACACAGTGGCCTGGGGAGGTGTCCCCGTACTGGGATGCTCCTTGGAGAGGGTGCGAGCCACCCCCCGGGCCTCACAGGGATGCTGCTGCGAGGGGTGGGCCGGTGCCAGCAAATCGGGGGGACTCAGCAGCCTCAAACATCATGTCTGAGCTCGGAGCATAAAGCAAACCTGCTTCAGGGTGATGGTTCAAGACCTGTGCCATGACTTGAGCTCCTGCTGCGAGTGTCTGGTGTAAACCTGTACTGGGCGATGGAGAGCGGGTGATGGGACAGACTGGGGTGGGGACACGGTGGCACAGGGGTGCGAGGAGCAGCCAGCCAGCTAGCCCACAGCTCGCCAGCGGCCCGGCGGAGGGCTGGGGTGAAGCCTGGGGTGAAGGGGGTACCAGGGCGAAAGGGGCCCCGGGGTGAAGGGGCCCGGGGCGCAGCTCCGGC